CCGCGCTGCTCCACAGCAGCAGCACGGTGCCCCGCTCCCGCACCACCTGCGCCCGCGCCGCCCACAGCCACGGCAGCGGGCCCACACGCGCCACGCGTGTCCCCTCCCACAGGTCCACGATCACATCGCGCTCGCCGCCCAACGTGGCCCGCAGCAGTTCAGCCAGTGCTCCCACCAGGCGCCGCTGCGCCTCTGAGTCCGCCACGTGCAGAAGCAGCACAGGATGCGGTTGGCCGGGGCCTAGGGCGGCAGCAACAGATGAACAGGGTGGGGGTTAAGGGGCAGCTCGGCTCTGTCTTCCTTGGCCTCAGGGCTACATCATAGGGTGCACCCCCAGTGCCTTATCTGCGCTGAGGGTGGGTCCCCAAGGCAACTCTAGTCAATAGGGTGCTTTGGGGGCTATTTAGATCAAAGCACCCTGGAAGGGGTGAGGTGTCAGAATTGGCAGGTGCAGCACAGACTGGATTTCCGCTCCACTTACCAGTAACCCGGAGACTTGGTACACTGAACCACCCGTACAGAGGGACCTTTGCCCTGCCTTAACCATTCCTGCCCATGGTTAAGGGGCCCTGAGGCGCACCCCCTTGGGTAGCAGACAGCTGGGTGCTGCGGCAGGTACATGGCTCTTGGGGAAGGGAGCCTAGGCAGGGAACAGGTGCCGGCAACTAGCCTAGGAGTTGGGCAGGTCTAAATCCCCAAATTATGCCCAAGTGAGCTTACCTGACAGTGGGCGCTGGAGGATGAGAACTAAAACAACTCCCAATAGAGTGGTGAGGGCCAGCAGTGCCAGGATCAATAGTCCCAGGTGTCTATTAGAGACTGAGTCAAGCAAGGTGAGGCCACACTGGGCTCCTCAGTGCCCAATCTTCCTCTTACTCACCCCCGTTCCCCAAAGGACTCACCATCTGGACACAAGAGGTGCTTCCAGGCAAACTGGACATCTGACCTCCACACCTGAGGGCACAGAGCCCCCCCACCCCGTGAGCCAGGGTATAGTGCCTCCTCCAGGGGAACTTAAATGAAGCATGGAGATGGTGAAAGGGAGGTCCCCTGGATAAGGAATTCATCCAGGCACAGAACAGGTCAAGAGTGGCAAACTCAAAGAGTAAACTCAAAGTTGGCCAGGGTGTCCATGGGGACCTGGAGGGCACAGGCCCTGGTGGAAGTAATCAGACACCACTGAGCTCTAGCCTGTTGTCACCAGGCCTGAATGTGGACACAGAGAACTAGGTTTTCTGGTTTATTTTTTTCAAGAGAAGCCAGAAATCAGCTTTTTAAAATATGATGTCTCCCAGTATTTAAATGGTGGTAACAAATTCCAATTTCAAACACCATGTTGTCCAAACCAAACATTTTTGGTGGACTAGATTTGGCCCATCTGCCACCTGTGGAGCAGATGCTAGAGGAGTATGTGTAGAGGGAGGGCAGGATTCCTTACCAGAACACAGGCCCCTGGCCTCAGGAAGGGAATGATGAGCTCTAGTGTCACTGGGCTTGAGCCCTGAGTCTTTTGGAATAAAGAACAAAATGACTGTTCACACGGAAACAAATCTGGCTCTCCCCCAACCCCCTCCTCCCAATCTTCCCACGGCTTAAGGCCAAGTGCCACCCCTGGCTTCATTCCTAGATCCTGCTGATCATTCCCAGATCAGAACTGCTGCACAGATACACATTAATCAGTCAGTCAGGTACTTGTCAACAGACATCCTGTGGGTGCCGACTCTGTGCCAAGCCCCGAGGAAAGAAGGCAGGCGCAGATGTTCTCTGTCCTCTGGCAGTTCCCAAACAGGGAGGCTAATCAGATGCTGCCCTACTCCTGTCCGGCATACCTGAAGGGGTAGCTTATCTATTGGAAAAAATGTAGGTTGTGGAGTCAGAAGACCACAGCTAACAAAGTCAGGCTTAACTATTGCCTTTGTGGTTCCTAGCTGTGTGGAACCACACATTTGGTTGGTACACTGATCCCTGAGCCTCAGTTTTTTCATTTGTCTGTGAAGGCTAATAATCCTTGGCTTACTGCATTATTGAGCATCACATGGAAATAGGCATGGGAACACCCTTCTAATATACAGTGCAGTGTGAATTCATTTAGTAGTAGTAGCTATTATTACACCTGGGACTCCTAGGGCCGAGTCTCTGTTATATACTTTTCCTGTATCTTCCAGGGCCTAAGACAGGGTAGGCACAGAATAGGCACTCAATACAAACATGCTGAATTGGACAGAATTGACTGTCATCTGTCTACAGGCAGGATGTGGCTCTGCCCTATGTTCTGGGTGCCGGGTAGGGAGCTGATCAGAATCTCCATACTTTGGGAATACCCTCCCCGCTGTTCTCCCTACCCCACCCTGTCCTAGATCATCCCATTGTCTAGTCATCTGTGAGCAAGTGCTGATGCAGGGGCTCTTAAATCATGGCTGAACTCAGTGAAGGCGGTCTTTTCCCAGCTCACAGAAACAAATGAATCCATGGATTTCGTTCTCAATGTTAGGTTTTCCCACATGACTTTGCCTTACAACTTAATCACGGCTTGGTCTTAAATCTTGAACATTTGCTACCACCTGCCTGCTTGGGAACCCTCAGAGAATACAAAACAAATAGCTGCCAAGTGAGTATTTAAGAAAGAACTTGAAAGAGCTACTCATGCTTAGTCAGCTTGGGGCTGTGGTTTTGAAGATATATTTGATTATGGTCTTTATATCAGATACACAGAAGAAAGTCTACTAGTCAATTGATCTTAGTTCACATAATAGAGTTAAGTCTGTCAGTAGTTTATAATCTTCCAGGGCCTCTGTCTCCCAAGATAGTGAGAGACTACTTGTGCCAGGTTCCTGGTGGAGGAAGACAGGAGCACAGTGGTAGAGGACAGCTGAGTTTGAGAGGGTATCAGTATAACCTGGGGCAGCAGTTTGAGTCAGCCAGAGGAGAGCTGGGTATGAGAAGGCCAATCCTTTGCCCCTGTTTATCCCTGTAAATTCAGAAACTGAAAGGATTAGAAACTGCCCCATGGAAACCCCGCTGATGGGCAGAAGGAACCAGCTGAACAAAGCCTGATCAAGTAAGTAAATAACTAGATGTTGTAAGTCAGGAATTGGCTTGCCTCCACCTGCTGTGCTCTGAGCAACAGGACCCAGCGGGGGACCAAGGGCTGGCGAGGTCATACCTGGCTGATGCTGTACACAGGGGGCAGCAGGCTGTCCCGCCCCATGTCTGGGTGGCTCCAGGCAGCACTGAAGGTGGCATGGGTCCTTGTGGAGAAGTGAAGGATCAGCTGCTGGGCCTGGATGTCCATGCTCACATTCCAGGATGGGGCTGCCAGGGAGTGGGGGAAAGGGTGTCATATGAGAAATCCTGTTGGCAGGAGGTGATAGGAGGAGCTGGGCTAGTAAACAGAGAAGTCAAGACAGGGCTAGAGTTTGGCTTGGCCACATTTGGGTGAGGGTGAAATGGTGGGAGGGGTTCCACTTATTGGCTCACCAGTCTGATGGGGACATTCAATGTGGCTGCTGTTTCCAAAAGAGAACTAAGAAATACAAGAATGGCGGGTCAGAAAGTGCCAGGCACGATCCATACCCTTACCCATCCCCTCTCACTCACGTTTGTACCTTGAAACAGAGCTGGGGGTGCAAGTCCACCTTCTCCAAAACATACCACTGTGGTGGGAGAAGGGGGTTAGCCCGGGAGCAGGGTCCTGGGTCACAGCCCTGCCCACCCAGGTCCTAGGGAGGCCTATCTCACCCCCTCTGACTCTTGAGCTGTGGCATTGGGGAGGTCTTCACAGAGGGTGTTCCCGCCCTGCCTCTGGCAGAGGGAGGCTTCCAGCTTCAGTGGGCAGCGGAGTGTTGGGACCATGACCATCTGACTGTGCTGGCTGTAGTCGGTAAAGTTCACTGACTTCCAAAAGTCCGAGCCATCTGGGCAGACAGCAGGGCAGAAAGTGAGGCCTAGGGAGGTTTGAACCCTGCTTTGGACTCATTTGGCCACCCTCATCCCCAGGGCATCAGGAGATGGTATTTGTAAAGGTGTTCAGCACAGTTCCTGCTCCGTCTAGGAGCCCCAAAGATGAGCACGCCTTTTCCAGCCCCTTGTTATTACCTTTTCTATTTACTCCTTCTTGCACCTCCATTCTGGCTAGCTCTCTGCTACTCCCCAAACTCCAAATCTTTTTATTTTTGCTAAGGTTCCTCTCAAAACCAGGAATACCCTCCCCTCCCTTCTTTCCTTTCTAAGTCCTGCTCATTTTCTGGTGCAGCTCAGGTGTCACCTCCTCTGAGAGACCGTCTCTTGCTGATGACAGCCTTCACCAGCTTCTCCCTTTCCGGAGTTCATGCCCCAAAGGCTAGTCCTTACGTGTAACCCTGCCCTGGACTGCAGGCTGCTTTGTGCTGTTCCTTTGTTATGTTTGAGCCTCCTGTCTCTTCTGCTTGGAGACAACAAAGTGTGGACAGCACCTTAGATGTCACCAACCACTTGCACTTATCATAGTGAAGTCAAGCCTCATAAACAGTTGGAAAGTAAGACAGGGCAAGTATAATTATTTTACAGATGAGGAAACTGAGTCTCAGAGAAGAATAAGTGGCAGAGCTGGGATGTGAGTGAGCCCAGCTCTTCTGGTCCACCCTCCACACACCAACTCCTGTGTGCCTAGTACAGCCTCCCACAGTGCCTACTACAATGTTCAACGCTCTGATTTATTGGCAGGCTGAGCAGTGGACATAGTACCCTTTTCTCCCACTGACTCCAGGGAAAATGCCTGCATGCCTTCTAGGGGCTTCCTCCAACACAGTTGGGAAGTGTGTGCGTGTATGCATGAAAGAGAGGCAGAGAGGGGCTGTGCGCGCACAAGAATGCATATGAGTAGCACTCACAGGCTTCAGGCCAGCTCTGGAAGGGACATTTTTTGCGCCTCACTGTATCCTCTTGCAGGTAGGATGCCTGGGGGGACAAGCAGAGAAGGTCAGACCTGAAACTCATTCTGGCTTGCCCT